TGAGTGTGAGCCGGTCTGCGTTTGAGTGGACCGAAGGATGATGAGTCAGAGCAGGAGAGAGTCTGAGTATGAGTGGTTCTGAGCGTGAGTCTGACTGTGAGTAAATTTAAATATGGGTATGAGCGAATCTAAGTGCGAGTGAGCCTGCGTGTGACTGAGTCTGAGTATGAGTGAGTATGAATGCAGAAGAGCGGAGGAGAGCGGAGAGCGAAGGAGAGTGAGGCGGAAGCGTTTGAAGCCTTGAAACATCGAACCTCGATCGTCTGGCCTTGGCTGCTCGAGTGGCCCACGTCCTCCTCCTCCTCCTACTCCTCCTCCTCCTCCTCCTCCTCCTCCTCCTCCTCCTCCTCCTCATCATCATCCTCATCCCCTTCCTGCTTCTGTTCCTACCGTGTTCATGCTGTCCTCCTTTTCCTCCTCCCTCCTCGTCCTCTTCTCCTCCTCCTCGTTTCCTCCTTCTCTTCCTCCTCCTCCTCCTCCTCTTCCTCCTCCTCCTCCTCCTTTTCCTCCTCCTCCTCCTCCTCCTCCTCTTGTTCCTCCTCCTCCTCCTGCTCCTTGGGAATGCTGAAACCAACACATCGCCTGAGACATCCTCCCAAAACTGCTCCGACAACGACAGATGCCCAGCATCATAACGGCCAAACCGCTTGAGACATCCCCGCAAACTGGGCGCGAACGTCTTCCAAATCTGCTCCGAAAGCGAAACATGCTGGAAGAGAAAATGGCCAAACCGCCTGAGACATCCCCACAACATCCCGCGAATGGGGCCGAATGAAATACCCACCCGCCGCTCCCCTTAGAGTGCCGAAACCAGCGAATCGCCTGAGACATCCTCCAAATCTGCTCCGGAAGCGAAACATGTTGGAAGAGAAAATGGCCAAAACGCCTGAAACATCCCCACAAAATCCCGCGAAAGGGGCCGAGTGCAATACCCCCCCGCCGCTCCCCTTACAGTGCTGAAGCCAGCGAATCGCCTGAGACATCCTCCAAATCTGTTCCGGAAGCGAAACATGTTGGAAGAGAAAATGGAAAATGGCCAAACCGCCTGAGACATCCCCACAAAATCCCGCGAAAGGGGCCGAGTGCAATACCCCCCCGCCGCTCCCCTTAGGAGTGCTGAAACCAGCGAATCGCCTGCGACATCCTCCAAATCTGCTCCGGAAGCGAAACATGTTGGAAGAGAAACCGGCCAAACCGCCAGAGACATCCCCACAAAATCCGGCGAACAGGGCCGAATGCAATACCCCCCGCCGCTCCCCGTAGGAGTGCTGAAGCCACAGAATCGCCTGAGACATCCTCAACATCAGTGTGGGTGAGTCATCCGATGAGTGGACCTGAGTGAGTGTAGTGAACGTATGAGTACAAGTACGAGTGAGTCTGAGTGATGAGTGAGTCTGAGTGATGAGTCAATCTGAATGATGAGTGAGTCTGAGTGATGACTGATGAGTCTGAGTCATGACTGGGTCCGAATGATGAGTGAGTCTGAGTGATGAGCGAGTCTGAGTGGTGAGCGGGTCTGAGTGGCGAGTGAGTCTGAGTGATGAGTCAGTGGGTCTGAGTGGAAGGGAGTGCTGTGTTCTCTCTCATTTTCTCCTCCGGCGCGGCCCGCCAATAATTACTCGACGCGGGGCTCACCATATGTGCATATCATTCACTTGGTACGTCTTTCTATTGATATCTGTCAATGAGCGCCTTTGTGCGAGGGCGAACCGCTCGCTCGAGATATTCCCGCAGTCTGCAAGCATGAGTGCGACCAATCGCAAATCTGAGAGCGACTGATTCTGAGTGTGAGTTAATCTGGGTGCGATTGAGCCTGGGTTTGAGTGGGCATGCGTGTGAGTAAATACGAGCGCGAGTGCGTATGTGTGCGAGTGGGTCTGAGTATGGACGAATCTGAGTGTGAACCAGTCTGTGATTGAGCGGATCGTAACATGATGAGTATGAGAATGAGTGAATCTGGGCTCGAGTGGGTCTGAGTGTGAGGAAAAGTGTGTGCTAATGAATATGAGTGCGAGTGAGCCGGATGTGATTGGTTATGGATGCGAGGCAGTCTGAGTGTGAGTCGGTCTGCGCTTGAGCGGGCCGAAGGATGATGAGTCTGAGCACGAGCCAGTCTGAATATGAGTGTTTCTGAGCGTGAGTCTGAGTGTGTGAGTTTACGTATGGATATGAGCGAGTCTAAGTGCGAGTGAGCCTGCGTGTGACTGAGTCTGAGTATGAGTGAGTATGAATGCAGAAGAGTGAAGGAGAGCGGAGAGCGAAGGAGAGTGAGGCGGAAGCGTTTGAGTAAAACCTAAAGCCTTGGAACATCGAACCTCGATCGCCTGGCCCTGGCTATTCGGGTTGCCCACGTCCTCCTCCTCCTCCTCCCCCTCCTCCTCCTCCTCCTCCTCCTCCTCCTCCTCCTCCTCCTCACCATCATCATCATCATCATCATCATCATCATCATCATCATCATCATCATCATCATCATCATCATCATCATCATCATCATCCCCTTCCTGCTTCTGCTCCTACCGTGTTCATGCTGTCCTCCTTTTCCTCCTCCTCCTCCTCCTCGTCCTCTTCCTCCTCCTCCTCGCTTCCTCCTTCTCTTCTTCCTCCTCCTCCTCCTCCTCCTCCTCCTCCTCCTCCCCCTCCTCCTTGGGAGTGCTGAAACCAACAAATCGCCTGAGACATCCTCCCAAAACTGTTCCGAAAACGACAGATGCCCAGCATCATAACGGCCAAACCGCCTGAGACATCCCCGCAAACTGAGCGCGAACGTCCTCCAAATCTGCCCCGAAAGCGAAACATGTTGGAAGAGGAAAAAAGGCCAAACCGCCTGAGACATCCCCACAACATCTCGCGAAAGGGGCCGAGTGCAATACCCACCCGCCGCTCCTCCTAGAGTGCTGAAACCAGCGAATCGCCTAACACATCCTCCAAATCTGCTCCGAAAGCGAAACATGTTGGAAGAGAAAATGGCCAAAACGCCTGAGACATCCCCACAAAATCCCGCGAAAGGGGCCGAGTGCAATACCCCCCCCGCCGCTCCCCTTAGAGTGCTGAAACCAGCGAATCGCCTGAGACATCCTCCAACTCTGCTCCGGAAGCGAAACATGTTGGAAGAGAAAATGGCCAAACCGCTTGGGACATCCTAACAAACTCCCCCGAAAGGGGCCGAGTGCAATACCCCCCCGCCGCTCCCCTTAGGAGTGCTGGAACCAGCGAGTCGCCTGAGACATCCTCCAAATCTGCTCCGAAAACGAAACATGTTGGAAGAGAAACCGGCCAAACCGCCAGAGACATCCCCACAAAATCCGGCGAAAGGGGCCGAGTGCAATACCCCCCCGCCGCTCCCCGTAGGAGTGCTGAAGCCACAGAATCGCCCGAGACATCCTCAACATCAGTGTGTGTGAGTCATCCGATGAGTGGACCTGAGTGAATGTAGTGAACGTATGAGTACAAGCACGAGTGAGTCTGAGTGATGAGTGAGTCTGAGTGATGAGTGAGTCTGAGTGATGAGTGAGTCTGAGTGATGAGTGAGTCTGAGTGATGAGTGATGAGTCTGAGTCATGACTGAGTCCGAGTGATGAGTGAGTCTGAGTGATGAGTGAGTCTGAGTGATGAGTGGGTCTGAGTGATGAGTGAGTCTGAGTGATGAGTGAGTGGGTCTGAGTGAGAGGAGTGGTGTGTTCTCTCTCCTCCGGCGCGGTCCGCCAATAACAAGAACACCATACTTAGGATATGGGGAACAAGAATCCCATACTTAGGCGATGGGGAATAATCAGAACCCCATCTTAGGATATGGGGAAAAAAGGGAAGACAGAGAGAGAGAGAGATACCCCAAAGAGCTTTCACGAAAGCCCTCCAAAAAAAAACGAACTTTAGATGGCTCCTAGGTGGCACCAACATGGTTCGGTGCCCTTTTTCACTCTGCGGGCCGACTGCAAAAAGGCACCGCCCCACCGGTGCCCTTTCCTGGTCGGCTCGCGGAGTAAAGGGCTCTGGTGTGGCGTTGCCCTTTTTGCAGTCGACCCGCAGAATGAAAAGGGCACCGAACCATGTTGGTGCCACCTAGGAGCCATCTGAAGTTCGAGCTCTTCTGTGGTTCTCGTGATGAAAGCTCGTTGGGCCATCCTTCTTTCTCTCTTTCTCTCTCTCTCTCTCTCTTTGTTTGTCTCTGTATTTCTTTCTTTCTTTTTGTTTCTCTCTCTCTCTCTCTCTCTCGAAAGACCCCCTTGCTGTAGTGCGGGTCGGGCCCGACCAGGAAAAGGCGCCGGACATGGTGCAAGGGGTTTTGCACCATGTCCAGTGATATTGATGATGATACTGATGATGCTGAGGATGACGGTGATCGTGATGATGGTGGTGGCGACGACGACAACGGCAATGATGATGGCGACGATGTTGCGCATGATGATGAGGAGGAGTCGGAGGAGAAGGAGGGGGAGGAGGAGTTGCAAAAAGTAGCCCGATGACCAGTGCTCCTCGTCGGCGCTCGGCGAAGCTGGCCGCTTGCTGCGTTCCGCATCGGGCCGCCAAGCTCCGCCCTTGCCCCTATATAGTTACTGCCCCTGCCCGCGCTACCGCCCCAAATCGTACCCCTCCCACCTCCCACGACCGAGCTATACCCACATGTACCCAATCATCCTTCTGTTTGCCTCAGCCTCATCCCACTCCTCGCATTCCTTCTCGCCACCATGCGGCCAAGCCGCCCTCCTGTCCCCTTCTTCCGGCTTCCCTTACCTCCCGTCCTTCCTCATACCTCCTACATCCTTCATCCCCCCCTCTGATCCTGAATAATTTCCTCCCGCTCCTCGCTCCTCCCTGTCCCCTCCTCGCTCCTCGTCCTTCCTCCCTCCTTTCGCCCATCGTCTTTTGCCCATGAGAGCGCCCTTGGCCAGGTTGCAATAAGGGGGGGGGGAATGCGCAGTGCCAGGGCCCATTCCGCAGAGGGCTAGCGGATGTTTTCGCTGAGCGAGGCTGAGGTGCTCCAACTAAAAAAGGAACGCCACCGCGACCAAGTCCAACATGTCCGGCGTAGCGAACGGAGGCAAGCCTTTCGGCCTTCCGGTGGGCGGCGCGCCCTCCTTCTCCGACGAGGCCGCCACTGCGGCGCGGGAAAAGTACCAGGGGCTGGTGGACAACCCGCCCAACGATGGGACGGCGAAGGAGCGTCGTGGGGGGCGCCAGGGTGTCGTCCAGCAGAGGTCGGTTCGGATGGCCCCTGCGGGGGCGGAAGGACACGCGTGCGGCTTCTGCGCCCACCTGGGGGATGGGCGTAGCGCGATCGACGCGCGGGCGGTCGAACGGCCGCGCCAGGGGAGGGCCCCGGCCGTTGCTTCTGCGCGGGGCGTGGCCCCGGGGCCGCGCGAACTCCCGTGCCCCCGTTCGGCTGTTCAACGATGGGGCCCACGGGGCCTTAAGCATGAAGGGACCGCACCGAACCGAGAACCGGGAACCGTGACCGAACCGGACCGAACCGGTCCAAAACCAGGAACGTAGAAAACCGAACCGGACCGAACCGAATTCATTCAGAACCGAACCGGCGAGGACCGAACCGAACCAGAACCGGAACCGAACCGGAACCGGGCGGCCCCTGAACCGAACCGACGGGAACCGAACCGAACCCCTTTCCCCTCTGGTCCGGACCCCAGGACCCCGATGACCCCCAGGACTCCGGGACCCCGATGACCCCAGAACCTCCCGAAGATTCCCGCGACCTCCTCCTCCTCTTCTCCTCCTCCTCCTCCTCCTCCTCCTCCTCCTCCTCCTCCTTCTCCTCCTCCGCTTCCTCCTCCTCCTCGACGGCGGCGGCGTCGGCGGGCGCGGGCGTCGGCAAGCGTCCGTCGTCGTCGTCGTCGTCGCCGTCGTCGTCGGGGGGCCGCGGGGGAGCCCCGGGGGGGCCCCTGGCGACCCTCCTGGCAGCCCCCCTGGCGACCGCCCTGGCGACCCGCGACGGCGACGGCGACGGCGGCGGCGACGGCGGCGGCGGCGGCGGCGGCGACAACGACAGCGACTTCGACCCCCCTCGCGGGTGCGACCCCCCTGGCGGGCGCGACCCCCCTGGCGGGTGCGACCCCCCTGGCGGGTGCAACCCCCCTGGCGGGCGCGACCCCCCTGGCGGGTGCGACCCCCCTGGCGGGTGCAACCCCCTCTGGCGGGCGCAACCCCCCTGGCGGGTGCAACCCCCCTGGCGGGCGCGACCCCCCTGGCGGGTGCGACCCCCCTGGCGGGTGCAACCCCCCTCGCGGGTGCGACCCCCCTGGCGGGTGCAACCCCCCTTGGAGGGTGCGACCCCCCTGGCGGGTGCGACCCCCCTCGCGGGCGCGACCCCCCTGCCGGGTGCAACCTCCCTGGCGGGCGCAACCCCCCTGGCGGGTGCAACCCCCCTGGCGGGTGCAACCCCCCTGGCGGGTGCAACCCCCCTGGCGGGTGCAACCCCCTCTGGCGGGTGCAACCCCCCTGGCGGGTGCAACCCCCCTGGCGGGTGCAACCCCCCTGGCGGGTGCAACCCCCCTGGCGGGTGCAACCCCCCTCGCGGGTGCAACCCCCTCTGGCGGGTGCAACCCCCCTCGCGGGTGCAACCCCCCTGGCGGGCGCGACCCCCCTGGCGGGTGCAACCCCCCTGGCGGGCGCAACCCCCCTGGCGGGTGCAACCCCCCTGGCGGGCGCGACCCCCCTCGGGCTGCGACCCCCCTCGGGGCTGCGACCCCCGTCGGGGCTGCGACCCCCGTCGGGGCACGTCGCTGGAGGGCCTCGCGCCTCCACGCCTCCACGTTTCTCCTCCTGCTCCTCCTCCTCCTTCTCCTCCTCGTCGTCCTCCTCCTCCCTCCTCCGCCTCCGCCTCCGCCTCCTCCCCCTCCTCCTCCTCCTCCTCCTCCTCCTCCTCCTCCTCCTCCTCCTCCTCCTCCTCCTCCTCCTCCCTTTTTTTCAAACTGGATCGTCGCTTACGCAGACGGGGCGCCCAACGTCGCACCTGACCAGTCGGGCCGAACCGAACCGGAGCGGCCACTCGAACCGAACCGAACCGGTCGGACCCAACCGCGCGAAAACCGGAACCGAACCGAACCGGCGGCAGGCCCAAGCCGAACCGGCCGAAACCGGACCGATGCCAAACCGAACCGGCCAAGCAAAACCGACCCGGCTGCAGAACCGGACCGAACTGAACCGAGCCGATCCCTTCATGCTTAAGGATAGGCACGTGTCCACAGTTGAATTTGCGCTGTGCTTGGCCCGTCGCCCTTAGGGGCCCAATCCCCCGGGGCCCCATCCCCGAGGGCCCCGCCCTCGAACCCCCGACCCATATTCTGGGCGACGGGCGCCGCTTGCCGGCGACAGGCGCCTTCCCAGGGACACTTGGAAGCGGCGGGTGAGGGAGGCGAGCTCCGTTGCTTTCGTCATCGACGCGATTCAATTCCAATGGATCCCGGCGCAAGGGAAGTTCAACGCGGAATACATCGGCAAATTCGCTGCGGACGCAGGGTTGCGTCACGCCGCGCTTCACGCCCAACGTCTTGATTTCGGATTTGGGCGGGGAGGTGACCGCCAGGCCGACCGCCCTGGTTCCCGACTCGTAAATATCAAGGTTCCCCGTGGAATCATGTATAACAGTCGGTCGTCTGGGTGGCTTCCGGGGACCAACGTGAAGATTTTTATCCGCTGCAATGAAAACCACGTGCGCTCTGAAACCTCGACTGAGCATTCTACAGAATGCTGCGGGTTTCACTTCGTGCCACAATCGGCCATTGATTTCGAGGTGTTTCCAGGGTCGGCAGGCCGCTCCCAGGAAGAGGAGGAAGAGGATGAGAAGGAGGATCTCTGCTCTCTGGGCCTCTGCTGATCCTGGCCTGCGGGCCGCTGCCGGACCTGGACCGCGCCTTTTTCCAGTCCGGGGGGGCGGGGTCACGAGGAAGAGGACGAGGAGGAGGAGGAGGAGGAGGAGCAGCAGCAGCAGCCACAGCAGGAGGAGGAGCAAGCGGAGCAAGAGGGGGAAGAGGAGGAGGAGGAGGAGGAGGAGGAGGAGGAGGAGGCTCGAGCAGGAGGCTCGAGGAGGAGCGGCAGCAGGAAGAGGAGCAGCAGCAGCAGGAGGCGGAGGAGGAGGTAGACGAGAACGAGGACGAGGAGGAGGCGGAGGGAGAGAAAAAGGAACAGGAAGAGAGGATGAGGAAGAGGAGGAGGAGGAGGAGGAGGAGGAGGAGGAGGAGGAGGAGGAGGAGGAGGAGGAGTTGGAGGAAGAGGAAGAGGAGGAGCAGGAGTAGGGCGAGGAGGAGGACGAGGACGAGGATGAGGACGAGGATGAGGACGAGGACGAGGACGACGAGGAGGAGGAGGGGAACGAGGAGGAGGAGGAGGAGGAGCAGGAAGAGGAGGAGCAGGCGGAGGAGGAGGAGGAGGAGGGCAGGAAGAGAATCCCGAGGCGAGCCCAGTCGCGGCGACGAAGGCGCTCCGGAGGCCCAAAGAGATCGAGGAGCATAAACACCTGCATCCTGCCCCCTCCTGACCTCGGCAGCGGTGGCGGTGGCGACGATCGGCGGCGGCGGTGGCGGCGACGGCGACGGCGGCGGCGGCGACGACGACGACGCCGCCGGGGGTCTTCCCCAGGGGTGATTTTTCATCCTGGATCCGTTTCTGATGGTCCCGGGGCCCAGAAGCGGCCCCCCGGAGGCCGAACACGGCGAAAAAACAAACCGAACTATCGATCGGCGACGGCATCGATCGGCGGCGGCGGCGGCGTCGTCGTCGAGGATCGAGGCTCAAGGACTGACCTTGGCCTCTACGCGCGGGCCAGCCCAGAGGCCAGCCCAAAACCAACGGTGCCCTTTTTGGTCGACGGGCCGACCACAAGGGCCAAGAGGAGGAGGAGGAGGAGGAGGACAAGGAGGAGGGGGGGAGAAGGGGGGCCAGGAGGAGGAGGAGGAGGACGACGCCGAGGAGGAGGGGGGGGAGCAGCAGGAGGAGGAGGAGGGAGAAGGAGGAGGAGGAGGAGGAGGAGGAGATGAAGGAGGAGAAAGAGGAGGAGAGGAGGACGAGAGCCCAGACCTCCAACGTCTCGGAAAAACGAAGCTCGAATGTGTTCCTCCGTCTCGGCATCCGGGGGCCGTTTCTGGGCCCGAAACCCGCCGAAAAACGACCAAACTGGGACCGTTGCGACGTCGGAGGTCTGGGGAGGAGGGAGGATGAGGAGGAGAAGGAGGAGGAGGAGGAGGAAAAGGAGGAGAGGATGAGGAGGAGGAGGGCGAGGAAGAGGAGGAGGAGGAGGAGGGGGAGGAGGACGAGGAGGAGGAGGAAGAGATGGAGCAGGAGGAGGAGGAGGAGGAAGCAAAATCGGCAACATGATCAAACACACCGAAAGACCATTTAGCAGAGCAGAAGACCACTTAGCAGGAACACGGGTGTAAGGCCCTTTTTCCACTCAGGGAACTTACATTCCCATTCTCGCTCCCTCCCTCCTCCCCTCCTTCCCTTCCTCCCTCACTCCCTCCCTCCCTCTCCCACCCTCTTCCCCCCTCCCCCCCTCCCTCCGACTTCTCGTCGTATTCGTCATCCTCTCCTCACTCCTGATACCTCCGCCAGCTCCTGCACTGCGCCGAGCGGGGCCCTGGGCTTCCGCTCGGGGTGCTGCGCCCTCGTGGGGCGTCTCTGTGGCCGCGCTTGGTCGACTCGCCCGCAGTACAAAATAGTATGTTCCCCAACCAACATCAGCATCATCATAATCATCATCATCATCCTCATCATCATCCTCATCATCATCATCATCACCACCATCATCATCATCAACATCATCAGCATCAGCATCAGCATCAGCATCAGCATCAGCATCAGCAGCATCATCATCATCATCATCATCATCATACTCAGCATCATCATCACCACAATCATCATCATCAGCATCATCATCCTCTGCATCATCATCAAACTCACCATCATCAGTATCAGCATCAGCTTCGGCATCGCAGCAGCATAATCATCCTCAGCCCTACCACAATCATCGTCATCATGAACAGCATCATCATCATCATCATCATCATCA